TTATCCTTACTCACAACCCCACACTTCAATTTTTTCTCTATATCTTGTGGTTTTGTTGTATAATACAATGGGCAATCACTGGTAGGTTATTATTATTATTAATTATTTTGTGCTATTTAAAAGTACATTTGTGGATACCAAATGCATAGTTCAAATATTAAAGTAGTATGTAGAATTGCTCAAAGGAGGAAATAATTTACTAATGGCTGCTTTTCATCCCAAGAGATGTTTAACCACTTTTCTTGCAGGAACTAAAATAATATCTACTATGGAAAGAGAGTGGAAACTGAATGTGATAATCTACTGGAAATATCTTTGGAGACAAACATACTGAAGTTTTGTAAAAATGATGCATTTAAGATGAGGACTCCAAGAAGATACAGAAGCCTGCTACCAGAGCTTTGTAACAGAAAGCCTTATCATTGGAGTAGGCTATAACTACAACACTGATTTATTTAATGTAAATATAATCTAATACACTGCCATGGGCAGCTCTATGTATTTTGCCACCCCAAGCATAGCAGTCAGGCGACTTTCGGCGGCGCACCTGCGGGAGGTCTGCTGGTAACGCGGATTTTGTGGCATGCCTGCGGGAGGTCCGCCGGTCCTGCGGCTTCGGCGTACTTGCCGCCGAATCCGCGGGACCGGCGGACCTCCCTCAGGCATGCCGCCGAAGGCTCCCTGACTGCCACCCTCACAGCGACCGGCAGGCCGCCCCCACGGCTTGCTGCCCCAGGCACGTGTTTGTGCGCTGGTGCCTGGAGCCATCCCTGCACACTGCATTACATGTGATAAATTGCCAAGTCAGGATTATAGCTATTAAATGCAGATATTTTATAGTATCTTTCATCTAACAAAAAAAAGATAAAAAATGCCCTTCTTAATTTTAAAAATTGTTAGGACTTACATATGGATGTTTTTGGGTGGAGAGAAGAAACTGACATAACTGTATTTCTGAATGGCTATTTTTTCACCTCTGAAATGTTAGCTTAACCGTTTTCTTAGGAATGCAAAACTACTAACTGAAAGGTAATGTGTGCTTTGCTTTCAATGAAATGGGGAAGAGGCAGCATTTTGCTTTCATAAGTAGGACTCCACATCAGTCACAGAAGTCATGGATTTGGTGAATTTCCGGGACTTCTGCAGCAGCCAATGTGGCTGACCCCAGGGCTGCCCAGGCAGCTGGTTCTGGGGCCAGCTGCTCAGATGGCTTCGGGGACAGCCACACCGGCTGCTGCTGGAGCAGCTCTGCAACCAGCTACTTGGGTGTCCCTGTGTGCCTGGCCCTGGGGACTGCTTGAGCAGTGGTCCCAGGGTGGTCAGAGCAGCTGATTCCTGACGGCCCCCAGCAGCTGGTGCTGCTGGCTCCATCCCCCCAGGTTGCTGCCCCCCAGTACCATCCCCCCCTAAGATTTAGTCATGAGTATTTTTAGTAAAAGTCATGGACAGGTCATGGTCCGTGAATTTGTTTATTGCTTGTGACCTGTCCATGACTTTTACTAAAAATACTCATAACTAAATCGTAGCCTTACTCATAAGCAATAAAGCTGAGCAATAAAAAATTGTAGAATTTGCAGATAATGTTACTGCAAAAAATTTTGGTTTTAACCAAATAGCTTGTTCCAAGAAAAAATATTTTGTTGAAAAATTCCCAACCTCTAGTAAAAACATCTATAAAGTTATAAATACAACATTCTGAATAGTTTAACATTACTCAGTATTTTGTGTTATTTCTTCTTGAATTTATAAAGAATATGACAACATTCATTTGGACATATCCTTTCCCCATAGAATATATAGTATGTTGATTCTCCAGGTTGAATACATCTTAGGTTTCATAACATGAGACAGAAGAGTTCTTTATTTAAAAAATCCCTTTTTAATATCCTTTCCCTGGGGAACACAAGATTCTTTTATCCAAAAGGTTTACCACATAGACAAGATGACAGCAATATTTTATGATAACATCAATGATATAAACCCTAGACAGAAATATTACTTTCATGAAAAACTTTTTGCTACAGCATCCTGTATAGTAGAACAATCTATTAAAACTGTTAATAACAACACTAACACTATATAGCAATTACTAACAGAGTGTAGAGGTTTTTGTTTTTCTTCTACCCTCCCCATGGCAAGATTTGTGATAGACAAGATCAAGAGATTTTTAAGGCAACAATATCAAAAAAGTCAGAACTATTGTTAAAGGAAAACCAATAAACTTTTGGTTTCCCAGCCAGTATACATTTACTTTCCTTCTAATATATCAGGAGTGGGCAAACTTTTTGGCCCGAGGGCCACACCTGGCTGGGGAAATTGCATGCAGGGCCATGAATGTAGGGCTGGGGCAGGGGGTTGGGGTGCGGGAGGGAGTGCAGGGTGTGGGAGGGGGTGCAGGAAGGGGCTCAGGGCAGGGGGTTGGGTTGCGGCAGGGGGCTCAGGACAGGGGGTTGGGGTGCGGGATGCAGGAGGGGTTTGGGGTGTGGGCTCCGGCCCGACGCCACTTACTTGGAGTGGCTCCAGGGTGGCAGCAGTGTGCAGTGGGGCTGAGGCAGGCTCCCTGCCTGCCCTGGCCCCAACCTGCTGCTGGAAACAGCTGGCTCCACATCCCTGCAGGAGGGGGCGGGGAGCAGAGTGCTCCGCGTGCTGCCCTCCTGCGGGTACCTCCACTGAAGTTCCAATTGGCTGCGGTTCCCTGTTCCCAGGCAATGGGAGCTGGGGGCGGGGTCAGTGCCTGCAGGCGAGGGCAGTGCACAGAGCCCTCTTGCCCCCCCGGGCCAGACATGGTGCCGGATGCTTCCGGGAGCGGCGCGGCACCATGGGGGTGGCAATCCTGCGGGACAGATCCAAAGCCCTGATGGACTGGATCTGGCCCACGGGCCATTGTTTACCCACCCCTGTAATATATCCTCTGTCTGGAACATTTAATTATTTTAAAGGGTACCTCAGTATTGATCTTTTTCATCAGTACTCTCAAGGCCATGAATGAGAGTCATGTGCTCGCCACTAAAATATACAGCCTTATTAGTAATAGAGATATGCTTTAATGTTTAGTAAATCATACTTATGATATAGTTAAATATTAGAAAATAGTAGACTTAATAAAAGCGGGATAAAGTAAAAGGAAATCAAAATAAAATGTACCACATTAGTAACATTAGGAAGTTAGTAACATTAGACCACTTCGAATTTTAATTTCATTTGGAATTTTTAGCTCTTATATTTTGTACTTCAATTGTAAAATAAAGATATATCACATACATTTTCATTAATGACTGGAAATCTGTTCCATATTATACTGATTACAGTACAATTATGTCCTGACAACACAGACAACATTTTGCTATCTGGAAAAGAATTTCAAATAGGTTTACACTGTTTACATTCTGTCAGGGCCGCCCAGAGGAGGGGGCAAGTGGGGCAATTTCCCCCAGGCCCCGGGCCCCTCAGGGGTCCCCACGAGAATGTCAGAGGCTCCCCCCTAGCCCCGGCCCCGGCCCCGCCTTTGCCTTCCTCCATCCCCCGGCGACTCAGTACGCCGCGTCCAGGAGCAGCCCCGGACAGCGCTGCAGCAGCGTGGTTCGGGCGGGGCCTGAGGTCCTCTCACTTGGAGCTGTGTGGTAAGGGGGCAGGGCTGCTAGCTCTGGTAGGCCAAGCGGAAGGAGCTCCTGGACGCGGCTCGCTGAAGCTCTGGCAGAGGGGGGAGGCGGCATGGTAAGCCCCTCTGAGCCGGGCACACCTCGACCCCCAGCTCTGAGCCCAGCCCCTCTGAGCTGGGCACCCCCCGACCCCATCCTCCACTGCCCTGACCTCCGAGCCCAGCCCCTCTGAACCGGGCACTCCCCCCCACAGCTCTGACCCCCACTTCTGAGCCCAGCCCCCTCTGAACTCGGACACCCCCCGACCCCATCCCCCCAAAGCCC